ACTGACACCAATGATGGGGCACTATTCCCCCCACTGACACCAATGATGGGGCACTATTCCTTCCACAGACACCAATGATGGGGCACTATTCCTCCCACTGACACCAATGATGGGGCACTATTCCTCCCACTGATAGCAATGATGGGGCACTATTCCTCCCACTGACACCAATGATGGGGCACTATTCCTCCCACTGATACCAATGATGGGGCACTATTCCTCCCACTGACACCAATGATGGGGCACTATTCCTCCCACTGACACCAATGATGGGGCACTATTCCTCCCACTGATACCAATGATGGAGCACTATTCCTCCCACTGACACCAATGATGGGGCACTATTCCTCCCACTGACACCAATGATGGGACACTATTCCTCCCAGGAGGGGGGGGGGGGGCGGCTCCGCCCCTCGAAAAAAGTGCTGCCCTGACACCGGCTCGCCGTATACCAGCGTATAAGACGACCCCCGACTTTTCAGAAGATTTTCATGGGTTGAAAAGTTGTCTTATACGCCGGAAAATACGGTAAATTTATGCTGAAATTTGATTTTTTTTACTGGACATGTTTACTAATTGTATTTTTTTTCTCGAAATTGTCATTTTTTTTTTTTTTTTTGTTAATAGCGCAAAAAAAAAATAAAAAATGCAGAGGCGATCAAATACCACCAAAAGAAAACTCTATTTGTGGGGGGAAAAAAAGGACGTAAATTCATTTGGGTGCAGTGTTGCATGACCGCGCAATTGTCAGTTAAAGTAACACAGCGCCGTATTGCAAAAAATGGCCTGGTCGGGTGGGGGGGGGGGGGGGGATACTCTGGAGGGTGAAGGGTTTAAAAAAAAAAAAAAACAAGCCTTTAGAAACCCTTTCAGTAAACCCCGTAATAATAATAATAAAAAATGTGAAAAAGCGGGTTGATAGAAAACACGCCAATACGTCCCCTTTAGCTCTGCTTCCCAATTGCTAATGACCTAATCCCGTTTATTCCCCGTAGCGGCATCCCACCACCCACCGCACAGAGGTGGTAGCCAAGCGCGTGCCGTCCATACACTCATTTCGCGATATTGTATTTGACAATTTGTTGCCATCGGGATTTTGCTCTATTTCTATATTTTTTAATATGCGCAGCAGCGTGTTGGATCTGCTTGTTAAACAACTGTCTTCAAATTGGATTAGAACCGTCAGGACGCCGCGTCTCCAGAGCTCGGCCTGACTCGGCGAATGACAGAGCGACAGAGCGATTCTGAGCGGGCCGTACAAAGATTTTACTTGTTTTGATGTGCCGGTTGATGCCAAAACTTGCGGCGGGCAAAAAAAACTCCCAGCGCAGAGAGCTCATGAAAGGCGATCCTTCTCATTGTTCAGCCCAACAGCTGTGGTGTGCGCAGATATTTATAACCAGAGGCGAAATGTTTTATGGGTCACCTCCCGGGACTAGAATGAGAAGGCTGCAATCTTTTCCGACAAAACGCGCTGAATACTTATCGCGGCGTGCCTAATAAGGAGCGCCGCTACTACGTTATGGCTGCCGCCTGCCATCCGGCTGATTCCTCTTTATGCTGCTTTTTCTGAGATTCCTGTCTACTGCCTTTCATTTTCATTTTTTTTGCAGACAGGGAGACCTCTGTTCACTCTGGGAATTGAGATTCTTCAACAGGGCCAACTTGAACAACTTCACAAAAAATGGCCACTGCCCCCGTCTATAACTGGCTTTTACAGCAAGATGGATGGGCAAAAAAAAGTAATTTCCCGGCTCAACTTGCCAACCAGCTTGCTAACAACCAAATTAACCTGTCTAACAGTTAGCCACAGAGCCACGTCAAGGCACCCCGATATTCTGTGGTTCTAAATTTTGAGAGCCCCCCCATAATAGAAGCACATGTATTTAATGGATAGACCAAGGGCAGGTCAACCTGAGAAAGCCCACTCCTTCTTAAAGGTACAGGAGTACGCCGGACACCCAGCTTAGCATGTAGCACAATGGCATCCAGGGTGTCCAGTGCGCCCCCCCACCAACAATTCAACAGCACAACAAATGGCCACTGCCCCAGTCTATAACTGGCTTTTACAGCACAGAACACATGGATGGGCAACGCATGTTAAAAAAAAGGAAGTTCCCAACACCCCGATGTTCTGTGGTCCTAACTCTACAAATTTTGAGAGCCCCCATAATAGAGGCACATGTATTTAATGGATAGACCAAGGGCAGGTGAACCTGAGGGAGCCCACCGGACACCCAGCATGTAGCACAATGACAGCCAGGGTGTCCAGTGCACCCCCTGAACTAACAATTCAATAGCACAACAAATAGCCACTGTCCCAATCTATAACTGGCTTTTACAGCAAGGAGCACATAGACGGGCAACGCATGTTAAAAGAAAGAAAGTTCTCAGCACCCCGATGTTCTGTGGTCCCCACATAATAGAAGCACATGTATTTAATTGATAGACCAAGGGCAGGTGAACCTGGGAAAGCCCACCTCTCCTTAAAGGTACAGGAGCGCACCGGACACCCAGCTTAGCTTGTAGCACAATGGCAGCCAGGGTGTCCAGTGCACCCCCCCCCCCCACCAACAATTCAACAGCACAACAAATGGCCACTGCCCCGGTCTATAACTGGCTTTTACAGCACGGAACACATGGACGGGCAACGCATGTTAAAAAAAAGAAAGTTCCCAACACCCCAATGTTCTGTGGTCCTAACTCTACAAATTTTGAGAGCCCCCATAGTAGAGGCACATGTATTTAATGGATAGACCAAGGGCAGGTGAACCTGAGGGAGCCCACTGGACACCCAGCATGTACCACAATGGCAGCCAGGGTGTCCAGTGCACCCCCTTGACCAACAATTCAACAGCACAAGAAATGGCCACTGTCCCAATCTATAACTGGCTTTTACAGCAAGGAGCACATAGACGGGCAACACATGTTAAAAAAAAAAAAAGAAATTTCCCAGCACCCCTATGTTCTGTGGTCCTAACTCTACAAATTTTGAGAGCCCCCATAATAGAGGCACATGTATTTAATGGATAGACCAAGGGCAGGTGAACCCGAGAAAGCCCACCTCTCCTTAAAGGTACAGGAGCGCACCGAACACCCAGCTTAGCTTGTAGCACAATGACAGCCAGGGTGTCCAGTGCACCCCCCCCCCCCCCCCACCAACAATTTAATAGCACAACAAATGGTCACTGCCCCAGTCTATAACTGGCTTTTACAGCAAGATGGATGGGCAAAAAAGAAAGAAAGTTCCCGGCTCAACTTGTCAGCCAGCTTGCTAACAACTGAATTAATCTGTCCAACAGTATGCGTTAAAAACAGGGGCTTAGTTAGCACACATTTGCAAATACATACGTAAGCCACCCCGATATTCTGTGGTCCTAACTCTACAAAGTTTGAGAGCCCCCATAATAGAGGCACATGTATTTAATAGATAGACCAAGGGCAGGTGAACCTGAGGGAGCCCACCCCTCCTTAAAGGTACAGGAGCGCACCGGACACCCAGCATGTAGCACAATAGCAGCCAGGTTGTCCAGTGCACCCCCTGGCAGCCCCCTCCCAACAATAATTCAACAGCACAACAAATGGCCACTGCCCCAGTCTATAACTGGCTTTTACAGCACAGAACACATGGACGGGCAAGGCATGTTGTAAAAAAAGAAAGTTCCCGGCTCAACTTGCCAACCAGCTTGCTAACGACCGAATTAACCTGTCCAACAGTATGCATTAAAAACAGGGGTTTAGTTAGCACACATTTGCAAATACATACGTAAGCCACAGAGCCACGTCAAGGCACCCCGATATTTTCTGGTCCTAACTCTACACATTTTGAGAGCTCCCATAGTAGAGGGACATGGATTTAATGGATAGACCAAGGGCAGGTGAACCTGAGGAAGCCCACCCCTCCTTAAAGGTACAGGAGCGCACTGGACACCCAGCACGTAGCACAATGGCAGCCAGGTTATCCAGTGCACCCCCCCCCCCACCAACAATTCAACAGCACAACAAATGGCCACTGCTCCAGTCTATAACTGGCTTTTACAGCAAGATGGATGGACAAAAAAGAAAGAGAAAGTTCCCGGCTCAGCTTGTCAGCCAGCTTGCTAACAACTGAATTAACCTGTCCAACAGTATGCGTTAAAAACAGGGGCTTAGTTAGCACACATTTCATACAGCAGATCATGTTTATGCAGAAGAATCAATCCTGCTTTACAGTCAATACAAACTGCGGCTTTGTCGCTCTACACACAATCCTTAAGCGCTCGTGAAAAAAACCCAAAAAGGTCAAAAAGTCCATTAAAAGGCCATCTTTCTCATTGCCTCTTCACAGCTGCCAGGCAAGTGTTTTCAGGCAAATGTGTGTGAAATCGCCTCTTTATTGGCCTATGAACATTTGCGGAGGAAATTGTTTTGAAGCTGAGAAGGACGAGATCTCCCTTTCCATCCGCTGTATCCCTGGCACCCTTGTAGAGCGCAAATAATTGGACAAATGCCAGCGATACGCCGGTAGCAGCTTTGGGGAATTACGATGAAATTGCTCTCGATCTTTGGGGAAAATGGTATAAATAGCAGTTACAGGACCCAGCGGGGTAAAGGTTCTCAGGAGCAAAACAAGGCAAAATGATTTCTACTTAACCGCCGTGACCGAAGATCGGAAAGTATGCGCTTTTCCTTCATTTTTCTTAAAATGGCACGTTTACATCAGGCTGCAAACTTGGGAACAGACTTTTCCTTTTGGTTACGCCTTACCAACCACTATGATTTACTGCTCAGGAAACTGGATTTCAACATTTGGCCGTGTCTGGGAATTCTCCAAAGACATCAATGAGCTGTCTTTGTAGGTTCTCATTTATCCATGTAATGGTGTGTATCAGCCTTTCCCCACCTTTTTACCTTCATGAAATAATTTTCAAGTTTCAGAGAACCTTTGCTAAATTTAAATAATTTGGGGGGTCAGAGGGATGAGAAGACTGTTCTCTTGGATTGGTGGTCAATGGGAAGACTGTCCCTTAGATCGGTGGTCAGTGGGAAGACTGTCCCTTACATTGGGGGTCAGTGGGAAGAATGTCCCTTACATTGGGGGTCAGTGGGAAGATGTCCCTTACATTGGTGATCAGTGGGAAGAATGTCCCTTAGATCGGTGGTCAGTGGGAAGAATGTCCCTTACATTGGGGGTCAGTGGGAAGAATGTCCCTTACATTGGGGACTGTCAGTGGGGAGAATGTCCCTTACATTGGGGATCAGTGGGAAGAATGTCCCTTACAGTTAGACTGTCCTTTGGTGGTCAGTGGGAAGAATGTCCCTTACATTGGGGGTCAGTGGGAAGAATGTCCATTTAGATCGGTGGTCAGTGGGAAGAATGCCCTTAGATCGGTGGACAGTAGGGAAGACTGTCCCTTAGATCGGTGGTCAGTGGGAAGACTGTCCCTTTTATCTCTGGTTAGTTAGACTGTCCTTTAGATTGGTGGTCAGTGGGAAGACTGTCTCCTGAATTGGTGGTTAGTAGGAAAACGGTCTCTTAGATTGGTGATCAGTGGAAAGACTGCCCCTCAATTGGTGCTCACCAGGAGGGCTGCCCCTTAGATTTCTAGTCAGTGAGAAGCCTTTCCTTTAGATTGGTAGTCAGTGGGAAGACTGTCCCATGGACTGGTGGTTAGTGGGAAAACTGTCCCTTAGATTGGTGAATAGGGGGAAGACTTAGATGTCTCCCTTAGATTTGTGGTCAGTGGAAAGAACACCCTCCTTACAATATAGACCAGAATGCCACCTATACAGACAGCTAAAAAGATCATTGGTGTCAAGCTGCTGGCTGAGCCAAGTAGCGTTGGACCCAGAACTATGCAGGCACCCTCAGATTGGTCACTCTGACCCATCAGCTGTGAAGCAGTCGCAGCATAAGGAACCCCTAACTACTCTCTCCTTTGGCATTTCTAGATGGACCCCCAGATAGGGTGCTGTGCCAGCGATGTAGGGTTCAAGGATGCGTCAATCCAAGTGCAGGCTAAACAGAAAAGTCCTTTTCCCGCTCAAAGTAATTGGATGTGTATGTGGAAGAGTCTGGTACAGGCGTTCATCTCACTTAGGGACTTTTTGGAACATTTAATGGTTAAGGGCATCAAAAAGATGGAAAAAGTGGCTTGGAGGGAAAAAGCCTCCCCCTTCTTCGGGGCTTCAGCAGTCAATATTAAGGCTAGGTTCACACAAGTCTGCACTCTACAGGCTGGTTGCAGGTGTGGGAACTGCACTGATTCCCGCAACTACCCTCGGCTACATCGCGTTTCTCTAGAGAGACATATTGGGCACCCACACACACATCTCATCCCGCAGCACAATCGCCGTGTGGATGTGTTTTGGAAAAAGTGCTTGGAACGCAGGCACAGCAACCTATTCAAATGAATGGGCTGCCATGCCCACGGAAACACAGGCCGCTAGGCCCGCTCTAATGTGAACCAGGCGTAATAGAATCATAACAGAATTCACTAAGATACCTGGATTTAGGCTTGATGGGGACTAGCATCTCCTGAAAGCACTGATGGCAGATCTAAAATGCACAAATTGGTGAAGCTGTGCAAACAATAATACATCAATACACAATTTAAATTTCACAAATTTCTAAGTACCTGAATTCTACCTGATATCTGCTGCTTGGTGTCCCCATACAGCAGAGCAGGAAATGTATTATGGTATGACTCACGGTAATTGTATGAGTCTGAAATTAGGTTGGGTGACTGCAGGTTGGGACTCTATCGCCTCCAACTCTTTCTGGAGGACCATGGAAGTGTCCAGAAGCCAGTCCGTAGAAAGGGGGTGGAGACCTAAAGCTGCATGTTTATGGGAGTCTAACCAATCCCAGGCTTGGAGGCTCTGGTAGTGTGGTGAGGCTAACCCATAAACATGGGAGAGTCAGGCTAGTGGAGCAGTCGGGTGGAAGATGGAGTGCTGAGGAGGCTGTCGGTGACCTGGGAGTGGTCCCCTAGGTCTAGGGGGGGCTGGTCTCCAGGTTGGACTGGAGCTGGCTCAGAAGATTATTCATTTGGCATCACGTCATGAACAGGACCAAGGCCTGGGAGCAGTGGAAGCAAGGAGGACAGAGTGAGTACATCGGCACACCCAGGGATCTAAAAGGGGAGAGACTGCCACATGTTGCAAGCCTTCAAAGGACAGCGCTGGGCTTAATCCTTTATCCTTGCCCTGGGAGATCTTCAGAGCAGCCAGGAGGACTGGTAGTATCTGCAGGCTGTGGAGTTGGGGGCAGTTCTACAGGGGGAGAGGAGACATCTATGCATGTAGTTTGCAACAATCTGTGCTAACTTTCAGAGGGGCTAAGAGACTAGCTTCTTGTGCTGCTTCTACTACACTTATCCTGAGCTCTGCAGTACAGGGACTGCAAGAGATTGATACAAAGTCAAATTCAGGTACCTATGTGGCTTTCATTAAAAAATACATTTATTTATGTATTTATGAATACTGAGCTGCATTCATTTTTACAATTTTATCTGCTTTCACTTCAGCTTTTTACCTGCAGATCCAATCCAGGTGAGATTCTACTGAACGACCGCATTTGAAGGGTGAAGTCAACTCTTTTGACTTTTGGCCCCCCAACAGAACCCGTTTGTTTATGCCAATGGGGAGAGAAATCAAAAAGAACCGAAATTATAAAATCCACCAGCCAATGCCCATGAAAATAGATGGCACAGGCACGAGCGCGTACACAATCGCTGATTAAATTGCGCATTTCAGGGAGGCGGCGGAACACTCGCACATCTGTCTTCCTAAATGATTCTCATTAGGCAGCTGTAATTATGCAATGCATACAAATTTTTCAGAGGACGTATTTTATATATGCGCGCGATGGATGTGGCAATTAGGCATGTAAATATTGATCTAGAGAGTTATGGCGTTAATCGTATTAAAACGGAGGCGGCATTGGTGTCAGTGGCAAATTAACCCTTCGGGATGCCCGGGATAGGGATTGTCTTCCTTAGCATAGCAATGTTTGTGTATCCGAGGCGCTTATCCCGGCGGTATGCAAGACAAGCATCCGTCGCAGCATCCATCTGATTGTGATATCGGAGACTCGTAAGTCTCTTCCCTTCTGGGCTCCTGGGTAAGGAACAGCTATAAAAAGCCAGATGAAGATTCCCCGCACCGCCACGGATACCCGCGTGGAACGGCGTTGGCTCATGTCAGCAAATCCTTTTAAACTGATGCGCCTTGTAAATAATAAGTGAGCGATCCCCCTTTGAAACTGTTAAATTTTGTCAAGTTTAAAGCGCATTATTCCAGTGTTATGCAGCTTGGCAAGCAGATGGTGGAGCATAAATATTGAATACAAGACAGTGACGGACAAGGAAGGAGGCGGGAGACGTGAGCTTGCAGCAAAAGAGAACCCGAGCGCGCGGGGCTTCTGAAAGTGTGATGCCGGCAGATTGCACAAAGAGATGAATGGCTATGGCATGAAATGGCCACTTAGCCAACGCACACTTGGTGATTTGAAATCCATATTTGTGGGATCTGGGCAACCATATGGATGGATCACTAGATGTATATGGAAATAAAGTGGAAGGGAAATCAAAAGGTGAAGAATTGCTACCTCCTTATAGAAGGCATCTAGAAATGTTAATTGTGCCTAAGCCGTATGCTGGAAAATCTAAGAGGAAAGAAAAACGAGCGCCATCTGGGTGTAATAGTTTAAAAACCAGTTTAATGGATAAAAACTATATCACTCAGAAAAGTAGGGTTATCTTTAGGAATGGGTAACAAGAGGATGGTCATCAGTAAAGGTCTCGGACCGCAATGGTTTTGGCTGTGAGCTGGCTTGCAGGCTGTTCTGGAGGCTCCCAGGGCTTCCTGGTCAGCGTGGAACACAGCCGAAGGCAGAAGTGACGTCAATGACCGGAACTGACGACCAAAGATGGCCCACACATCGAGAGATGCTGAAATATGAATACACGTATCTTGACGTGTGGGCCATCTTTGATTTTCTTTGATTTTGTGACGAAGTGACGTCAATGACCGGAACTGACGACCAAAGATGGCCCACACATCAAGAGATGCTGAAATATGAATACACGTATCTTGACGTGTGGGCCATCTTTGATTTTTCTTTGATTTTGTGACGAAGTGACGTCAATGACCGGAACTGACGACCAAAGATGGCCCACACATCAAGAGATGCTGAAATATAAATACACGTATCTTGATGTGTGGGCCATCTTTGATTTTCTGACAGTCATCTCCTGCTCTTACATCAAGCTGCCTCATAATGGACATCAGAAACCTTACAATGTCATGGACTTCATTGCCTTTCATAATATCCTTGTTTGTTGACACCTAGTAGCGCTCCATTGTTTCCGTTCTGTTACGCTGGAAAATCTGCATTTGGCTTCTCAAAAAAAGTAGCACTGCCCTTCCTGGTATACAAATCTGCCTAGGCACTCCAGTCTTGTAACCTCCTATTTGTATATCTGCAGTGTGAGATCTAAGGCGCTGCTGCCTCTGGCTGCTAGTCTCAGAGAGATTTAAAGTGAGATTTGGTGATGTCACTACTGTGCTGCTCATTCCCCTTGCTGGAGGCTCTGTCATAAGGAAGCAAAGCCCTGCTCCATTAGCTTCTTTCCCTGCCACTGTGGTGGCAAAACCCAGAAACGGTGTAATGGACATTGCTTCCAGGTTCTTACCAGGTAGGTATATTTGTTGGTCTCCCTACCCACTACCCACTACCCACTACCCACCTGCACCTGCCATGCTACTCCTGGGTCCACAGATAGGAGTGTGAAGCCCAGGAAATATGGGGGAGGCACATGTGGTGGTGATGTCAGTACTGTGCTGTTTACTGTTCTCCTTGCTGGAGGCTATGTCATGAGGAAGAAAAGCCCTGCTCTATAAACTTCTTCACTGGCCACAAAGCCTAGAAGTGATGTAATGCACGTTGCTTCTGGGTTCTTAACAGACAGGTACATTTGCTGGTCTCCGTTCCTCTCCTCTACTCAGCGGCATCTGCCATGCTGCTCCCGGGTTTACAGATAGGAGTGTGAAGCCCAGGAAACATGGGAGAGGCAGGTATGGGGGTGATGTCACTACTGTGCGGCTCACTGTTCTCCTTGCTGGAGGCTCTGTCATAAGGAAGCAAAGCCGTGCTGCATTATACTTTTCCCCGGCCACTGCATTGCAAAACCCAGATGTGATGTAATGCACATTGCTTTCAGGTTCTTAACAGGTAGGTAAGTTTGCTGGTCTCCCTCCCCTCTATCCAGCGGCACCTGCTATGATGCTCCCGGATCCACAGATGGGAGTGTTAAGCCCAGAAAACATGGGGGAGGTGCATGCAGGAGTGATATCACTACTGTGCTGCTCATTGTTCTCCTTGCTGGAGGCTCTGCCACAAGGATGCAAAGCCCTGCTCCATTAGCTTCCTTCCCGGTCACTGTGGTGGCAAAACCCAGAAATGATGTAATGCACATTGTTTCCAGGTCCTTACCAGATAGGAGTGTGAAGCCCAGGAAACATGGGAAAGGCAGGTATGGGGGGTGTCATCACTACTGTGTTGGTCACTGTTCTTCTTGCTGGAAGCTCTGTCATGAGGAAGCAAAGCCCTGCTCCATTAGCTTCTTCCCCAGCCACTGTGGTGGCAAAACCCAGAAGTGATGTAATGCAAATGCTTCTGGGTTCTTAACAGGTATGTAAGTTTGCTGGTCTCCCTCCCCTCTACCCAGCGGCACCTGCTATGCTGCTCCCTGGTCCACAGATG